TTATACGAACAGTTGACAAACTTTAAAACAAGTGACTAAAATTCTTTCCAGTTGATTTTATACTTTATTTTAAGAAATGAAGTATTTCGATAGAGCGATGAAAAGACGGAGTTGATCTGATCTCATTGCTTTATCGAAATTTATAAAAAGGACTAATTGCTTTAAAATAAAGTACTGCCATAAATTCACACATGAACAAGACATCTACAATAAATACGGAACATTAACTTAGTGGTTAAATCATTCACTTTTAACAATTACGTAGAATGTTCAAAACCCGCTTCGACTTAATAGGTTAAAGCAGTCCTTTAGTACGAGTAAATCTTACATAGAATATCTGATATACAACTAATTACATGAAAGTATACTTAAAAGATAGGTTACTTTCCTAAGAGCAATCATCAAGCATTATATCAAGTTAATCTATCACTCATAATATTACAAGTAATACATTTTGTAATCTGTACGATTGATTATTTTTAGGGTTTAATAAGTTTACTAGATGAACGCAACATCACCTATAATCAATATAAAATCAGTTTTTATCAAGACAAACGCAAATATAATGAATTTGTTACTGATGAGAAACACTAATAATTATTTTTAATATTGTAATTTTCAAGTATTAATAATCACCGTGAAAGTAGTATTTATAGTGCACTTAAATATAAATAATTGAAGATATGATTTAATAGTTAAATACGATACATATGACCTATGTACAAGAAAGGAAAACCAGCGAATCAACGAATCTCATCATCAAGAACAAATAACAGCAAACAATCATGAACACATACAAACAGAGTAGGTACAGTTTTCAGTATACATCGTTTGTATATCTTAACACTTTTTCTTTAAAACAGTCGGAACACATCAAGTGTCAGGAATACACCTAAACTAATCAATGAGGTAGGAAAAGAAAACAAACGAAGGAATATATATATATATGATTATCAGAATGTGTTTTGTGGAGATTTTTAGAAATTTTCACAGATTAAACTCATGAGTCAGTTGAAGCTAGACCACAAAACACATTCTGATAATAATAATCACCTGCTCACTAGTGACTGACTTCAGGAGACACTTCTGGAGTTCTAGTGAGAAGTCGTTACCAGTGGAGTTCAACCAGGTCTGTTGTGAGATAGGAACTCACTGAAGACAATGGTGTACGGTAGCGCAACTTCGTGGATTGGTTGAAGTTAGACATTAACACCGTCGGGTGCCGGCTCAGTGGTCTAATGGTCAAGTGCTCGCGCGCGGAGCCAGTAGGTCCTGGGTTCGAGCCCCGGGTGGTGCGGGGTCGTGGATGCGCACTGCTGAGGAGTCCCGTACTAGGACGAAACGGCCGTCCAGTGCTTCCAGGTTTTCAATGGTGGTCTAGCTTCAACTGACTCATGAGTTCAATCTGTGAAAATATATATATGAGACTGACCTACCATCTTTGTTTGCATTTGCTGCTGTATGAGCCTCTCGCAACCTATGCAAATCGGCCAATGTAGTCATTAAGATAGATGAGATTCAAAGAATTTGATGACTGGAGCGACAATAAGAATGCTGAAATAGCAACAAAAATTATATCAAATTAATTATTAGCTAACGAAGAAGAGAAAATAAGTGAACAAGGTGATCAATATTCCAGCTAATAGGCACAGTGAAGACGCACACTTACTGAATATATCAATTGTTTTGTCGGAATATTTTGTGATGGTTTGTCTAATTCAAAAGAAGTTTTCTTATCAATTCCAATGAAACACTGACTAAAACTGGTGTGGGTCAAACAATTTCTTTCGTCTTAGTTTTGAAATAGCAGATAGTAACATTGATTACAAGATATTTAAATTCTGTGGCAACCAGGATGCCATTTGGTCGACAAGTCAGAATGTAATGTTTAAGTTAATAGGGGTATAGCTTGAGGATTATCGACTATCACTAGTACTTATTAAGTAGAACGAAACTGTTAGAAAAGCCAAACACTCAGGAGAAAAGTGCATCTACTGAAACATAATTATTCTAAAATACCTTACGACAGTTGTGAAACGACATCAGTTAATTACTATCCTTAGCATTCAGTAAATTGGAACTAACAGCACTAGAAGCAAGTAAAATTTATCTATCATATTAAACAACTCGAATAGGTAGAACAAATTAAGTTATGGTTATGGATCGATTACCATTGATCTAACAGTGTAAGCGCGGATAACATCATATTCGTATTACTTTAGACTGAAGTTTAAAATATAATCATGTAATGTAATAAGCGAAATATAGCATCAACATGAGATTTCTCATAGTAAGATAAAGTTCGTGCACACTGTAATAAACTACACATTCGATATTACTGTGTAATACATATACTTAGACTTATACTAATCATGAAAATAATCCATTTCTTTAAAATCACTACAATGATCTTAAATGATATACAACACAATTGAGAGAGTTATGAAGCATTTAAAGTACAATTGATGGAGGACGTGTTTTTCGTTCACTACAGGACAGTCAAAAATTTTTGTCACAGAAATGAAATGCACAAGAGTAATTAAATAAACTGATATCAAAAACCACTATGAGTAAAACCATGGTAGCATGATAATAAGATAAATAAAAGGGGTGGATAACTAGTGGAAAAAAGTCTGAAAGCAGCAATGAGCACAAGAATGTACCATTGTATATAGTTGCAGGTATTTCAGTTGCATAAAGCAATCTTTACTTAGTGGGCTTTCTTTGAAGGTATACAGTAAGTAGGTAAACTTCGAATCAATTTATGCAAGAATCTATACTGATCATCTAATACCACCTTAGAATATAATTTAAGACAAACGCACAAAAGACTAAAGAGACCATCAGTACTATCAGGGGATTCAAAATAGTGGTGGCCATGAAAGACTTTGTGAGAAAGAGAATGGGATACTTGTGTTGAATTTGCAACATTCTTTCCCCACGTTTCTATTATGAATTATTAATTTTATTATGTAGGGAACGAAAACAAAACTCTTCAGAAATCCTATCAGTTATCGCTGCTTTACTAGAACTATCTGGAGGAGAAAAGTTTAATCGGTCACCCAAAACCGCATCAGTTACTAAGAAGAAATGGTTTCAAGAAGACACTATATGTTTTTTGTACATAAAAAGACATTTCCAACTATTCCGAAAACTGGTATACTCCATAGAACTCGTTGGTTAGAAAATTAGTGTTCAACTGTTAGGGACAAACTTGGAATTCATTTTCACCTCTTAGGTCCCAAACAGAATACATGTTTCTAAATCTAATATACAAGCCAGTACTTGATTACTTGCTTACACTGAGGTTACCATTGTAAGCTGATGTGTAGAGAATTCGAATACGAGTGACGGGAAATTGTAATTTGAAAGCAATTTGCATTTTGATAAGTAAACCGTTTTAAAGGCTTTCTAGTAGCTTATTAGACGGTATGGTGAGTTCCACTGTCCTAACACGATCAGCGGAAAATCAGTGTTTTCATGGAAAGATATACCATCTCAATTGTAATGTTGAATAATAACTAAAAACTTATTGTAACATTATAAAATAACACTATGAATTCACAAACCGACAGCACTATCACTCAGTTACTTTGCAAACTATTAAACTGAATAACGTAATACACTAATTCGTCAGACTGATTAAACTTGGTTGAGGAAGGTTTACCTAGTATATAAACAGTTTTCAGATGAGCAAAAGACAGAAAGTGAGATATTAGCAATAATTTCACAGACTGACTCAGCAAATGAACTTCCCACTCCTTATTACACAAATCATCAAGAACAATGGGTAAAATTTGAAAGAGGTCTGCCAATTGAGAGATCGTATATATATATATATATATATATATATATATATATATATATATATATATATATATATATATATATATATATATATGCATCGGCCCAAGTTGCCATACTGCATTAGCACAGCAAGATGAACACCGGATTCATAGTAGTTAATTCAATGGCGGTGATATATAAAAGAAAGATTGCATGTAAGGATATAGTACAGGAAGAAAGAATTAGTACGTAGAAAGATATGAAGCGATTTTAATCTCATAGTTTAAGGGGAAACAGATAATGTTATATATATTCTCGATAAAATGTCGATTTTATCAGTTGTAATCATTAACCCAATACAAGTGATAAAGTTAACTTGACATAACTTAAATAGTACAACTATTATTACATTGGGCATTGGCTAGAAAACAGGATCCTTTCAAAATCGATATATGTACTGGTCTCATTGAAGTACCCAACGAACTAATGATATTTATAACTATTTCTTTTTTAAAGGCCCAGGGGGGGGTAAGGCAAGAACTCAAAACTTTCATTTCGCACACATATAATCTACGTGTTAGCTTCTGATCTTTGTGGTTCAAATTGATTCATATTGCAACATATTTTGTCTAAACAAGAAAAGAATGTACTCAAGGAAAAAAGAATCTATTTAATAGGGTTATATCGTTTGATTTAATTGCAAAGTTTTGATCAGCACTCTAGATGAAATGAGCTATCAAGATTTCTTCACAAGTGATTATAACAGATTGTCTAATTGACAGGACAATGATGTTCAGTGTCCTTCAAATAAATTATAAGAGCACGAAAATATACAAACAGGAAAACGTTAATTATTTAAACGAAACTAATAAAGATGATAACACTTTACCATACATTAAGGTACAGTAGGAAAACCATGAAAATGTTCTACGATTAACCGTTATGTCATAAATCTTCACGTAAAAATGAAAGTATATTTAAAATATTTCCGAATTCATGTAATAATAAATGACTGTAGGTAACATGAATTTTAGCATTCATAGTTTGCACAAGAAAAAACTAAACAAAACTATATATAAAACTCTGGTTTCTAACTATAACAGTTAAATCAATTAAAAGCATCTGACTAAGATAAGTAAACGACAAAGAAGAATATTAAAGAAGCACAACACACACATAAATACACACAATTAGGAAGCAGAAAAAAGAAATAACCAACTTTTATTTTTATATTTACATCAGTTATTTATAGAGTCGAAAAAGTACATTTATGGTTGTAGAAACACAAATAATAATAGTAACAACAATAAAAAAGATGGTGTACAAAATAGATATATGTAGATATAATAAAATCAAATATACATGTATATCACATTTGAGCTCGCTAATATGTTGATTCAACGTATCAGACAAAAAAGAGAGAAGAATCTAACCACCCTCCCTCCCTTTCAAAAAAACGAGAATGGAATGATCCAAATAATAAACTACATAGACAATTAAGAAAGAATGAGAATTATAAACGTATATCACAATGTAGTAAACTAAAAAAAATTTTTAGAAAAATTAATCTACTCAATGTTAAGAATAGGAATTGTACATAACTCAAAAAAATATATATGTAGTAGAAATTTGTAGATTGTTAACTTTTAAACTGCCGTGTAAAATTGTTTATCAAATGATCCAAATTCAGCTGTTCATAGTAAACGCAGAATTGAACATTGTGCCATTTGATGAAAACTTTTTACCGATGGATGATAATAACAATAAGTTATTTTATATTTGATTTGTGTGACAAGTATTTCTTTGTAAGCAAAACAAAATAAATTACATTTTAATATTATAAGTTAATAATTAAAGTGAAAAATAATTATTATAATCATGATGTCATTATTTAATAAACTTAATACAAAAAGAGAATTCAGTGAAGAAACTTTTCTTTTCGACGAAATCATTTACTTAAGCTGTACATTCGTATATATAGTTATATGGAAAATGTATGTCTATAGGAGGATAGAAAAAATTGCATCACCAAAATGGATTCGAGGATAAATAACAAATGAGGTTACGTACTAATCAAGGGGTAAGGAAGAAAATCGTTTATGGGTCAGATAATAGTCTAATTGACAAATACGAAGAAAAGCGACAAACACAAAGGTCATAATAATAGACTAAAAAGTAATCAAAAAAACTTGTATGATAATAACTGATTCGAGTTTGAAATGCAAAATAGTAATTTTAACAATTCGATAATAATCAAATAAAAGTGCAGAAAAGAAACGAATGTACAGCTTAAGTAAATGATTTCGTCGAAAAGAAAATTTTCCTCGCTGAATTCTCTTTTTCTCATTCAATGACACTATGGGTTATTTTAATTAAACTTAATACGATTTGCCATAATTTGATTTGATCATACTGTAGTGAAAGAGAACATAGGTGAGGAGAACCGAATTATATTTTGCACAAAATTACAGAGTTACTTGGTAAAATAGAAAAACCATACTATAATACTTAATTTGCAAAATGTTCAATAATTGTCTTGGACTTCATTGTTCTTGCATTTCTATACTAATTGCTTTCTATTCCTGTTCTTCCATTCTTGATCTTCCCAATCTACTACTGCCAGACATTAGATTCCTGACTCGCGTTATATAATACTTATGTCAATATAAGTAGCACGCAGCACAATACTTCGCGTACAGTGACTATCAAAACTAGTCAGTTGAGAACAGACAGAAATAGATGGAGTAGATAAAGGTTGAAACTTATAAAACAATCATTACAAGTTGATCACTTTGATCATTTAAACCATTAATTTACTATTGTAATACTTTCAAAATCATTACTGGCTAGTCAACATTTAGGCCAACATATCATTTATTTATTTATTTGGACACATGAATATTGGTACAAGAGAGCGCCAATATATATGCGCCACACAAAACAATGAAAATTCGAGAGGAATACAAAGAAAGAAAGAAAAAAAAGCTAAGGAGCGCAACAACAAAACAAAGAGAGAACAATAACGAAGAGATTGGTGTAAGGTAATGTGCTAGTAATCAGGGAACGCAAAGGTACAATCAGAAGGAATCTTTCAGGTAAGGGAGACAGAACCACTTTTTATGAAGAAAGTAAAAGAAGGTTACAGCAGGATCGCCACTGGCTTCTATTCTGAGCCATATCTGATAACCTCTCTAGCCACTGTGTTGCACCATCTCTCAGACTCCAACCAGGGAGTCGTGAAGGACCGACGGAACCAGCCCTTTGCAGCTTTCTTTCATGGCATGACATCATGTCATATACTGACCACCTCTCCGCTTCTTCCAACCAGTCCCAGAGTCGGCAAATAATGCACGACGTGGAATTCTCTGGGACAACATTCGGAGAACATGTCCAAGCCACCGAAGTCGGTGTTTCAAGATGGTAACACCAATTGAATTATCATCTCTGTGCCCGAACACACGATGCCGAACCTCTGCATTACTGACATGGTGTTGCCACTGAATGTCAGCAATCCTTCGGAGACAGCGATGATCGAACACAGAGAGTCGTCTAACGTCCTCAACTCGGAGAGGCCAGGTTTCACAAGCATAGAGCAAAACTGCTCTCACCGACGCGTTGTAAACCCGACCTTTTACGGCTAGACTAACATCACGAAGGCGCCATAGATGGCCCAGATTGGCATAAGCCGCTCTGGCTTTCACTATACGTGCATTGATCTCATCACTCACACCCCACCAGCACTTATGCAGCTACCCAGATACACGAACTTCTCGACTACTTCTATCTGCTCACCATCCAGGGTGAGTACAGGATTGGTATCCTGACAGTCTTGTAGGAGTACTTTGCACTTGGAAGGTGCAAAGCACATACCATACCTACGGACACTGATTGCCAACTGATTAAGTGCGGATTGCATGGCTTGGGCATTATCGCACAGTAAGACAATATCGTCCGCATACTCAAGGTCGAGAAGTCTCTCCAGACAACAGATCCACACCACCATTACTTACATTCATCAGAGCTGTTACCAGAATGTCATCGATGGCAAAGTTGAAGAGGAATGGTGAGATTGGGCAACCCTGCCTAACCCCACTACTCGAATGGAACAATGGAGAAAGGTGGTTGTATGCCCTCACTCTGTCTGAGGTGTTTTTATATAGGGCTTTTAGGATGTTAATAAACTTCTCTCTAGTTCCCAAACCTTTGGAAACAACGTCGTCAATTCCTTAGTCAAAAAGTCACCACCATCTTTAAAAAGAGCCGGAGGTAAGTCATCTGGGCCAGGTGATTTGTAACGCTTCAAGAGTTGGAGTTCCTTGCGGACTTCCTCCTCGTTTGGTGGATCAGTCGTCACCGGCCATGGAGGGCAGGACAGTCTGACCGATGTTGCCGGAGCAGCAGGCCAGTTGAACTGCCCTTCGAAAAATTCTGCCCACCGTCCAAGACGTCGATGGATGTTAGTGATTGGCATCCCATCATCCTCGCAGATTGTTTCACTCACACCAGACTTCTTGCTGCCAGTGGCTCGGATGAGCTGGAAGAGCTTCCGGTAGTTACCAGATGCAGCTGCTGCTTCCAGCTCATTAGCACGCTTCGACCACCAGGCTTCCCGGTCCTTACGCAAGCTTTGCCCAATTTCATTACATAACATCCTTCGTTTATGCTCAAACTCACGGTCACCCGGAGTAGACCGACGGGCTTCAATGAGTTGTAAGGAACCAGAAGAAACCCAGTGCTTAAAAGCGGGACGTTTCGCAAACCCACAACTGACTGTTCCGCCATTTTCATGGCGTCATGCAATTGCAACCAATGCTCATCTATACTTTTCGGTGGAGTGGTAGCTAGCCTAGAGGCTAGCTCGGTTCGATACTTATTTGCAACAGAAGTTGCAACCAGCTTGCTAATATCAATCCTTTGCTGGCGGTCACTTCGTTGTCCACTGAAAAGTAAGGCAAGATTGGAGCAGACCAAGGCATAGTCAGAGTCCAGATAGGTACTCCAAAAGGAGCGGCAGTCTTTTACACAACCACGCCAGCGGTAGCTGATCGCGATGTGATCAATCTGAGTCCAGGCTTGGGATGCAGAGGTAGGACGCCAGGTGGCACATCCGCAATGACTGTGCTGAAAGTTAGTGCTAACCAGAAACAGGTTGTGGTCTGTGCACAGTTGCAGTAGACGGTCTCCGTTATCTGACCTGCGACCAACGAGTTCCCGTCGGCCGCCTAAACGACTCTCTTCTGTGCCTAGACGCCCGACCTGAGCATTCAAGTCTCCGGCTAGTACTACAATATCTGTCGAACGCACTTTCTGGAGAAGAACAGATAACAGGTGGTAAAACTCATCCTTGATTGCATCCGGGCTGCAATCTGTCGGGGCATAGGCGGAGATGACGAAAAGACATCGTTTCTCACGCCGATTTCTTCTCACTTTGATGAAACTTTCTAATCTAACAGCACATAACCGACTGTTAATGGGGATCCAATCGACTAGTGTTGCCTCAGCTCTAGCGCTTAGTGCGGCACCAACGCCTGCAAGACCAGACGAAGATGCCACAGGGTCCCCGGATAAGCGCACGTAAAACAAGCTTTTTGAAGTGACAGATGTAGAGCGAATTTGTAGTACTTCACCAGAGTCTTGAATACGGGTCTCGGATAGACAACAAACATCAATATTAAGACTTTCCAAAGACATAGCCAGCCCTATCTGTTGACCAACCTGCATAAGTGTGCGAACGTTGAAGGCAGCCAGTTTGAATGGCGCACGTGGTTTCAGAAAAACTGCTTCAGTACTCATATTCGATGGTAACATACAACTTTCAACCGGACAGTGGCTCGAGAACGTTTAGATACAGTCGGATTTCCACCAAAGACGAGCCGCTGTATAAGTATAAGAGGGTGAATAATGTGGGAAATAATAATAATAACGACAATAATAATAATAATAGTATTAATAATGACAATAATAGTAATGATAATTATTTGAATCGACTGATTGTTTTTCGGAGCGATAAAAGTAGTTGCCAAAGACACAGAGCTCATCGTTTGTTTGTGGGCTGTGATACTGCCCGGGTGCCCAAACCGAAGCAGGTGGTTTTCTTAGGGGGCCACTCCCCGAGCCTTTGACCTAAAGGTCTAACCCACAAGGCAGTGGAGCATCGTAAGGAGATACAATCCCATGGTAGCCGGTGACAAAGATTGGTTCATACGTCATTTGTTCCCGCAGGATACTGGAGCCCATGTGCACCATTGGTTTGTGATCCGGTTAAAGCGCCGGACATTCGCTTTTCGTCCTCTCATTTTCGTAAACAACACCCCCGCCACGAGAAGGCAATGAGTAGGACTTCCCTGGCAGAGGCTGTATACGCGCGGCCGTGTGAGAGTATTTCGAGAGGGAGAGCGGACTCACCCCACTCTCGGCCGTACCAGGGCATTCGGGGGCCAACATATCATACCAACTAGGATAGATAACTCGGGATATTACGAAATGAATTTCAGGCAGCAAATGAATGTTTGACTAATATTAGTTTTCCAAAAAAAAACGCCGAAGAGAGAACAAAATGGAGATTTAAAAGAAATATGTTAACAATAAGTACTAAAGAATGAAGCAAATGTAGTAGTTTTAAACTAACAACCATTTTAATTTAGATCGGAGATATAAAAAATGAAAAACGGGAGCATGACGAACGTCTGGTACAAAAAAAAGCTTTTCTTAATTACATAAAAGTACACAGTAAAATAAAACAACTAAGCGTAATCAATAGGAAATTTTTGATCCATTGGTTTTTACAAAGTTGGTAATCACAAGTAATGCATATTCACAGAGAGGATATATCTAAGCGATGCTAGTCATTTTATATTCTAAACTGCTTCGTTCAATATTATGGGTGTAGACCATGTCACTGAAACACTTGCGTCGTAAACATATTGGTCAATTTTCAAGAAATAACTGTAAGTATTCTACTAAGTTTCTAGCTACATAATTCAATGGCGAAAGTGAAAACTAGACGACATTCAAATGATTAAACCGCCGAGTATTTCACATAGGTTTCGTGTTTATTGATTCACTCATTATTGACGTGAATAATTAAAACATGTAGCAACAGCACGCTTTTATAAATAATCAATATTGTTTGTTTTTTGCAGTGATAAGAAAAACACTACATCGGACAAAGCGGACGCCCCCTTAACCTTCGCCTACATGAACATCAGTTAGCAGTCAAACGGCATGATATCTCTTCACTTATATCAATACACGTGGACAACTGCGGACACTCATTCGATTGGAAAAATGTGGAAATCTTAGACAGAGGAAACTCCAAAAACACCAGAGAATTTTTAGAAGCCTGGCACTCAGGTCAATTAGCAATCAACAAGCATATTGAAATCAATCCAATTTATCAACCAATCAGAAAAATCATGCACAAACATAAGAACAAAAATCAAAACAATGGGAGACACAACCAAAACAAAGAAGTAAACAACGACAATTTTAAGGTCAATAAGAACCAATCAACGTCGAGGTGCACAGAACAAGCTTTGAGACACATATGGAGAAATTCAAACACTTCACTTCTATCTGAAGTTTGTGCTGATGATGTCGTTCAGAAGAACGATGAAAGCTCCACGACCAAACCATCCAGCTCAGAGAACAAAACTCCACCAAAATCATCCACCTGAGCTACAAATCTTCTCCACCATCTCAATTATCATGCATCCTAGTTTGATAACAGATTTTAGCTATGTCAACAATAAGCAATCCCAAACAATCTGATTAAATATAATGATTGCTACTCAATATTCAATTCACACAAAAATTTTACTGCGTAATAAAACTATGGATTAAATTATATTCGAGTCCCAGAGGGCTTTTTTAAAACAATTCAAATCGAACAGACAGCTAATGATTATGTTTGAGATAAGCATAGTTTACAGATTGATTTATGCATATTAGGATAAGACTTAAATAGTTAATAGGTCTTGAAACTTACTCAGTAGAGTATCGAACGGCCTAATAGGCTGTTACAAATTTGGATTCTGGTGAGATGTATATTTCTTTCTGATAAGTCTTGCAAACTGAACACTATATTCGTTTCCTAAGCTATTCTGTAACCCCCAGCTAGAACTATACAGCGACCTGAACGAGACAGAAGACGCAAGGTATGCGAGAAGTACTTTACTCCAAGGTACGTTTTAACACAGAAAATATAGGGTTTTTATAATATTTTTAAATGTCCTTGGGTTGCTCGAAGATTCTGGAATGCTACTAAACATAGCAGCAGTATAGCAATTAGCCAATCAGAACCTCTACATGTGAAGTTTCACTTCCTTGGTATTTTTGGCTAAAATTTCAAGTGAACGCTGATTGGATGAAACGCTTCTTAGTGTTTCCTGATCCTTGGTTGTCTTTTGCAAGAAATTTTCTGGATCACTCCAACACTTTCCGCGTTAATCATCATTTAATTTCATATCGAACAAGACTATTTATATTAGTTTAATATAAAAAATTTTGTGCGTAAGAAAAGATTCATTATGAGTGATTAGATAATAATTAACTAAGTATAGGCTGTATTTTTGAGCTATCCAAAATAATTTGTAACGTTTTGAGGTGAACTGCCTTCGATAAGTCGATTACTCAAATAAATATGTACATATTACATTTCTCATACTAATTACGGTGTATATATTGTAATTTAAAAATACAGACTAAATAGTTTATCCTGTTTTCGAACTAAACATATGTCGATCATTCAACTCATTTTATTTCAATATAAGTTTATGTTAGTTGAAAAAAAAGAATTAAAAGAAAATTTGTAATAGTTAATTGAGGTTACAGATTACGTGTAGTTTTTTTTTTGTGTGGTTTGTGCTATTTAGTTCTATTTGTTTGTGAATATCTTTTAGCAGTGAACTCAGTTACAAATCAATAGATTATTATGTTACGTATTCTTCATTCAACTGGTTTTTTTTATTATTGAATTACATTAATACAACTGAACATACTAACAAAAAGTAATTCTTTAAGAAAAAAATATATAAAATACACTTACATAAAGAAAATACATTCCGACCTCTTATATTTATTGGAGAACGAGACATAGATCGTGCACCGAAAAACAATATAAGAAAATCTGACAGTAACAATATAATTACTAGAAATTGTAGTCGAGATGAAATGAGGAGAATATCTACCTAAATAACAAATTTAGATAAATGAAAAATATAAATATTTGAACATTTACTGATGGAAATATATAAATGAAGAAAACTAACAAAACATGAACACATTTAAAATATGCGATCATAAAAAAGATGATTAACGCTGATGATCTGTAAGTCATTATAATTGTCGTTAACATAGCTCTTAGGTCGTTAGGGATTCCACCCGACTGTCCATCCCGAAGTTGGTATCCAGAATTATTGATACCTTAAAAAACTTATGAAAATCAGTCATTATTATCTTGAACTCCACTAGTCGTGAACATTCAGCAGAACTCCAGGAGTTGCATCTTTAGGCTAGTCACTAACGAGTAAATTCAACCATATAGAGCGTGAGATAGTCAACCACCTCAGGCAATGGATCAGGGTTGCGCAATGTCCTAAGTTGATTGAAGTTAGATATGTACACTATTGAATGCCGGTACAGTGGTCTAGAAGTTGAACACTCGCACGCGAGACCGAAAGTCCTGGGTTCGACTTCCAGATGCAAGAATGTGGATGCACACTACTGAGCTCCATACTAGAAAAAAACAGTCGTCCAGTTCTTTCAAATTTTCAATAGTAGTCTGGCTAAGATCGGTTATTAATTTAAACCATGAAAATTCTACAATCCTCATAAGTGCCCCCTATGCTGAAAAATATTTATTCAATCGTTACTAGAACAAATATTTTATGCACCTCTAATTTGCACCTTTATACCTAATTAGAAATAATATCTTGTTACTAATGTGACCACTCATAATCCCCTACTACGATCGACGTTGAAGGTAGCTAGCTTTTTTACCCGAAATCGCCACAAGTCTATAGCCACTTAATGGGAAGTCTTATTCCATGCCTTGGTGTAGAACAACCTAATTCGGACCAGTTACGACCTTCCATATTTATTGTTGAAGTTCCACCGTAAGTTCCCCTCTAAAATTGTATTGCACGAAACACGTTTCATGTTTATGTGGTCAACATGTAAGTCTTCGTAAATAGGTTGGTGTAAGTTAACTGTCTTATAGCTCCTAGATCAAGGTCAGCTATTAGTCCTTCGGAAGATGTAGATTGAGACTAGTTACAACTAAAAGTGGGTCAATAAAACCGCTTGCAACTTCGCGAACTGTCCTGCTCACAAGTAATGAGTTTCAGTGAACTCCTAACAGGTTTATGAAGCTCAACAGTTGACTTGGACGACGTATGAGTACAACAGTGAAAACTAGTCCTCAATGTGGAAAATTTCATAGGCGACATAGCCTGATCAGAACTTGCTACTCAGTTAAAAGAAACAGATGCATTTTACAAATGTTAGAGATTGTCTTAAATCATCTAAGATAATAATAATCTTTATGTCAGTGAAAAAGCAAGTTGCCATATTGTGCAGATTGCAAGAAAGACGTGGAAACCAATCTGTGGCGAGTGGAATAAACTTTTCCTATGTGTTAATTATACCTTTATTTTTCATTAAACGCTTCATCAGTGAAGCGAGTATAGCAGACTAACTACTATCATTCTAATCAGCCAGAAAGATATGACCCTATGAAGATGGTTAACATCTTAATAACTTTGTGCAAAAACACTCTAGGTAGAATGAAAGTATCCAAGCCACCTCTCTCCATATTTCTAAACCAAGTAAGACTAAACAACGCTGTCGAATTACTTCAATCATTTTTTTTAAATTCTACGTCGATGATGTTTAGAAAACAGCTTGAATGAAGTGGTGAAAACTTACAGATATTACCTGGAGAAAGACTTGTCGACCTCAAGTAAGCTAATATAATCCGAATCAAAAACATGCATAACATAAAGGTTTACTCAAATCACACCGTGTCTTAGGTTTATTCTTTCTCTAAATCTGAAATAATTCTCTACTCAAAATTGTCAAAAAAGAAAATAAGCTACGTAACAGTTAAAATGTTGGCAAATATTAGATTAACAAACCTTTTCCAAACGTGGTAAAAGATGAGGAGAAACATGAAACTCAGTCTGTATTCGTGTCCGACCATGACAACGGTTTGAGTCAAAAACACCAGTCCGTTTGGACCATTCAAGAAGACTAGTTATTGAGGATGTACTACCAATTAAGTTTGGTTCACAAGTCGGAGGTAATCTAGAATTTTCCGAAGTAAACACGAAAATATCATAGGTGTATATAACTGCATAGTATAAGTACATATAGACTTATTGTTCATCACAGACTGGTATCAGTTGGAAAACTATAAAAACCAGAGAATACTACATGGTTTTTTCGTCCTCCACTGTTAACCACCTATGACTTTTAAATAGTAAAGTAAAAATGGTACTTTCAGAATCCAGTGATGGCCATCATTTTCAACTGCAAGTAATCCGCGAATTGGTTATGACTTATTTCAAAAATACTAAAAATATCACGCCGTGTAGATAACGATTTAATATGTCTTTTACGCTCTCGTGATCGCTTGATTCAAGCATATAGCTTTGTAAAATAAAACGCAACCGTAATAGAAAATTTTAACACTGAAAACTTGAATTTCATGAAAACCAAAAATCAGGATACATAAAATCACTATGGAAAAACATGCGATTTTAATATAAGTAAATTATTTTATTTACGAAGACAATTGCACAAAATGTGTAGGTAATCAGTAGCACTTTTAGATACCTGTGATTTAACCGGAGAATTAAAAAATTATTATCTTTCTGCAGTATACTACGCTAATATAGGACTGTTGATGGAGTTTATAGTACGTCCAGATTGGATGCTCGATACCACTAAATACAGACTAGATCACGTTGTAACAGGGTGCCAGATTCACGATCAAAAATAGAAAAACAGTAACCCTAGATAATATTATATACCACACAATTACAGGCGATCATTCTAAGTGAGTTCAGATTAGAAATCAATAAGTGGAAGGGAAATAACATATTTATTATCTAGCAAGCTGCCCACCTGTTTGCCTACGTACAGTAACCAATACCATTTACTTTCACTACTACACATTACGTTGCTAATATAAGTTTGAAAAACTGACCAGACAAAACACATTTTCGGACTTCATTGCTTAAATCACAAACTCATCATAGCTAAACAGCCAATGAAAATCGCGAAGAATTAGACAAGCATTGACAAAATAGAACCAATGTTTCACTAAAAAAGAATACAATTCAGAAAGGAAAATTCTCTTTTCGACGATTTCATTTACTTAAGCTGTACAATCATTCTTATGGTTAATTTTATTTGCTAAAATATTGGTCTATGATAAAATAGAATGGAGTAAAATAATTGGGAAAACAACCTAAAGTAGTATCTTGTCATAAATTGTTTACGAAAAACAGATATTGAAAGGAAATTGTGTAATAATCGGCTAGTGAAGAGTAGTAAGGTGAAGGATATTTGTCCACTTTATAGCTATTAAGAACAGAACAACTAAAAATTGTAATGGTGGATAATTAATGGTTTAGAGCATGATCAGAAACTAATAGAAGTAAAAAAAACAGATTACAGGAGATAGAAAGGTAGGTGAAAACCATGGGAGAATGAGGGACTGAATGTATTGTTTTCTTACGCAAAGTTTAGGCTCGGGATCATGGGTAGCGATAGCCTCTTCTGTACACAAGTTTTCCATTCTCATTCCTATTAAGCCGACTCTTCCCGTTGTGTGTGATTTTGAAAAAGGCTTCTGGTAAAGCGTAATGACCAGAATTGACTAAATGCTTCGAGATTCAGAAGACTGTGTTTTGTCAGCGTCTTTACCAAATAGAACTATGTCGTCGGCATATTCTAAGTCAATAAAATAATCTCCAGGTAGAAGTTCAACCCCTGGAAATTTAGATGAGGAAAGTGTCATCTCTAAAAGCATGTCAACGACAAAGTTAGACAAGAATGGAGAGAGTGGACAGCCCTGACGAACACCACTTGAAGTAATCAATTCTGATGACAGTTCGCCATAAGCTCTCACTCTACCAGTTGTGTTCGAGTAGAGAGCCTGTATAAGGTTAATGTACTCCTTTCAGTGACATACACTGCCATAGAACCTCACGATCAACAGAGTCGAATGCCGCCTTAAGATCGAGAAATACTACCATTGTGGGGCGTCTGAATGTGTGTCTGTGTTCTAGAACCTGACGTAGTGTGAATATGTGGTCTATACAACCACGTCCAGGTCGACAACCGGCCTGGTTTTCTCTAGTCTGCTCTTCAGGAGCTTTAGTTAGGCGTCGAAGTATTATTGAAGCTAATATTTTAGACACCATATTAGTCGAACTGACTCCTCTTTGATTGCCATAAGAGAACTTTGTCCTTCCTTATCGACCAGTCAAATGGGATTACGTCCAGTTCCCAGATTCTACCTAAGACCTCAGCCGATCTCACTGCTAATACTGAATCGCCATTCTTAAAAATCTCAGGGATAAACCTGTCAGGGCCTGCTACTCTCCCTGTAACTTTTTCAAGTTCGTAAAGAGTTGGAGGACCTACATCAACTTGCCATTTAGGTCGACTGGAGATCGTGGGAAACCGAAGTGTGACTGAAGACCAATTGAACTGATCCCTAGTGTTCTGCCCATCGATCAAATCTCCTGGATTGAGAGTGAATAATATATCCGTCTTTTTGCAAGATAGTTTCGCTAACAGTTGGATTCCTAATAACGGTTCCCTTGACAAGTCTGAAGAGTTGTCTGCTGTAGCCTATTGCCGCTGCCTTTTCCATCTCTTTTGCTTTCGCTAATTACCACTGTTCACGATCATTGCGTAGGCCTCTTATCAGTTTGCGTTTAAACTGACTCCGCTCTTTGTCATGTTCAGAGCCAGGTGGGAGTTTTCGAGCATCTTTCACTGTGGTAGATGCTTCTGAGATCAAGTGTTGCTCCCTAACCTTATGGTTTACCGTACTAGCAGATATTTCTGCTGTTTCCACAGCTTTTCGGATATCATTCCATGCTGCCTCGGGGTGGGCATCACTTACATGGCTGCCTAACTATTTTTTTAGTTGTTCCTGAAATATATTCTTAGCTTGGCTATCATTGAGTAGGAACCTGAGAGGTATCTTTACGTTGTCCTTCCTACGTCCATTAAGAAGCAGACGATTTCGCGCTCGCACCAGAGCATGACCTGAATCTAAGCATGTGCTCCTGAACGGGCGACAGTCCTCTATCGAGCCCCTCCATTCGTGGCTGATAGCGATGTGATCTAGTTGGGTCCAACTTTGGGACGAATTTGGGGGTCTACATGTCAAAAGATGTTGTTCCTTGTGCTTAAAGTTAGTATTTGCTTCACCTTACTTCTCTTCACTAGCCGATTATTACACAATTTCCTTTCAATATCTGTTTTTCGTAAACAATTCGTGACAAAATACTACTTTAAGTTTTTATCCTAATTCTTCTACACCATTCTATTTCATTATAGACCAATATTTTAGCAAATAAAATTAACCATAAGAATGATTGTACAGCTTAAGTAAATGAAATCGTCGAAAAGAGAATTTTCTTCTCTGAATTGCCTCCTACCTACTATACAACTGTTTCTTCCTACTATAGTGATTCTCAGCAGTGCTCAACCATAAGATCATCGAGTGTCAAAACAAGGGCCCTCAAATTCTTAACTTCAGGAGGGTTGAGTTGACATTTACTGGTTTAAATACCTAGCTTAAATCAATTTGTGTTGTCTAGCGATCTTTCAATGTCGTCGATGAGTAACTGTCTCACACTAGATAAGGCTGAACTTCATTTTATTAAAACCCCTGGAATTACCTCTCGAAATTGGTTACTAATGGGCATATAATTGTTGTAACAATAGGTGTTTTGTGAACATTGTTAAACTTTTATAGTTTTCATCATCGGCGACAAAGATAGAAGTAGTAGATAACAGCATAAAAACAGTAACATGAGAAATTAGAGCACACGAAAAAAACAGATACCGCATCTAAATTTACAACAAATGATGTGGTCACCTTAATCGACGTATAATGATCAATTTATTAAATGACTTATACTTATTATATGAAACATATTGATCAAACTTAAACAACCTCATGCATTTGATTAGCAAACACCATCATGTCGGCCATAATAAAGTCACATTGTTACGTAACAGTTGGTTGACTAAAGATTATACAATTAGTTACCTAAAAGTTTCCATTGGTTACCATCACGTAATTAAGAGCAATGTCGTTTGTGTGGCATGCTGTTACTCAATACGAATGGATGGATTTTAAAAAAAACTTGATTAGACGTGTGTGCGATTGCCATAGAGGAAAACGTATAGCACTGTTTGTTCTAACATGAATGCATCTCAAATAAATCTAACTCGTAAATGAGTTAGATTTGTATGACCTGGAAGGGTAACACAGAATTTCGAACTATAAACCAAACATATCAGAAAACTGAATCTAAACAAATAGCCATTTTTAATGATTTAGGCAACAGGTGGAACTTTAATTCTATAACTATTAAATACGCACTATTAGTAAGTACTGGATTCCCAAGGCTCTATCAAATAACACTGGAAATTTCTACGTGAGCTTTCTTACCTAAAAATGATCTACAGCAGTGGTTAATAAATCTGTTCAAGTTTTCTTCCTAAATGAGAAGCGTTAAATGAATAAGTAACACAAACACTCATTTATACAATATAAAAATTGAAAAGTAACATATTACGCAGAAAATACATCCCATTTGTCCAAAAGAATTGCTTTACTACGTTTGAAACTTACAGTATTGGTGGGAAAATAGCCGATGTAGCAGTAAAAGTCACACATGTTTTTAAATGTACAAGTCGAAAGTTCAGTTTCTTTCCTTTACGATTTTCATTTCGAACTGATGGTACCAGAAAAGATATGTTCAGTTTTTGTAATGCTAAAGGACCTGGAATAATGAAAAACTATCATTTGTTAGTATTAAAATGAAATACCTAAGAGACATACCAGTCAATCATGTGACAAAAAGAGCCTAACACAAGTGTGAAAATCGCCGAATCAACGCGATGAGATGAAATTAGTAAGATAAATAGCAAAAGAGTTCCAATGATTATAGTAGCAATAACAGTGAAAAAGATGGTTAAAATATATACTTTTTGCGCTTAGAGCTTGTTATAACTTGTAACCGCCAGTTAGAAAGCAGTGAATTATCGATCGGACCAATGACGCATAAAACACGTGCGAGCAGTCTAGAGTCCTGATTGGTCCTGCTTTTCGCCCAGCCCAGCCAGTTGAGTCCAGAACGCCAATCCGAGCCACTGCGATATCAATCATTATATTTCAAACATACTGAGTTTATATACCAATCAAACAGACCACAACGTACCATAAAATAGAAAACAACATTTGTACAAGATTTGGCCAAAAGTGGCTGTGAATGTGGGAGGCAGTGATTAATAGACAGGGCATAAATCAAGAATGATAAAGCGTATAATAATAGTTCATAGGTCAAAATAAAGCTTATAATAAGAGGAATATGAACATGAATAGTTAAGTTATTTAACAATTATACGATAAAAACATACGTTTAGTATTGGTCCATAAATGGATCCCAAAGTTACCACTCATTATGCTTATCAGGACATAACAGAGCTTCAAAAAATACGTCACGGAAAACCCACTTTAGTTTGTGTTCAGCAGTTAGTCATTATCATTATGTTGGATTTTAGGAAAACTAAACATCGAGTAACTAGAAGGATTTTGATCATAAAACTAACTACCTGTTTAAATATTTATATGTTAGGTAGGTTTCGGAAATATGGTCCACAATGTTAAAGAAGTATTACAATCAATAAAGCACAACACCACGTATTTTATCACGGGATTTCCAAAAGTACAATTTCATTATGCTTCACTAGACCTCACGCACAACTATTGTTTTATGTTGTAGACGTAAACGGACAGACATAAACATTTACAACAAACATTTTCAACTCCATATGATACAGTACGTTTTATTATCAAATCTAGTACTCCGATACTGTTATAGGACAAACACTCGATTATCGCACAGCCTTCAACAACTGAAAACAAACGATAACACTGCCAGGGGGTCATGAGTTCAAATGACAGTGAATGTTAATTTACGATAATAATGCGTGCCGGAAGTAGATTAAAACGAGAATGTAAATTTAAAACCAGCTTGTTAGTTCTGAAGAACTGAGACTGATTTTCGTGAGAGTAAATGAGTTATACTGCTGCATATATACAAAATAATACAAAACAAATGTCCAGTACCTTGTGATTTTCTACAACAGCTCAACCGATATTTATTTATGATGGAAACATTATTTTCACGTTTGCTAAAACAACTGAAAACATAAACTTCATTTAAACTATTTGAAAAAACCGTCGTTACCAAAACGGATTTTATATACATGGATTGTTCTTCATGCGGTAAGAGACAACCTGAATTGAATTGTCAGCCAATCAGCTACAACGTAGGACCAGGCACATATATGCATCGGTCCAAGTTGTCATACTTCATTAGCATAACAAGATTAACACCGAATACATAGAAGTAGTTAATTCAATGGTGGTAATATATAAAAGAATGATTAAATGTAAGGATATAGTACAGGAAAAAAGAGTTAGGACGTAGAAAGAAAGATATGAAATAATTTTAATCTCATAGTTTGAGGGAAGACAGAGAGTGTATACACCTACACCGTTGTGATCGATTCTGAGACGTCACCCAGAGTCCCAACCATTGGTTACGAGAGTCATGCGAGTTCCAACCAAGTAGTCTGCATCTACTAACATGGCTCAGACTAGAAGTTAATGACTTTATAGACCGGTGCCACGTTTTGGTTCGGCCGCCCTCAACATTCTTCCAACCATCCTCAACACCAGTCAGCAATGCGCGTCGTGGTAATCGGTGTTCAGGCATACGTAACACGTGACCCAAACATATCAGTCGATAACGATTCACAACCTCATCAACTGATTTATCATCATTCCCTAATGTCTTGCGTCTAACCTCACTATTATGTACCCGGTGATCCCAGAAGATGAGGGCAATATTTCTAAGGCATTTGTGGTCGAATACTGGTAGCTCAAGAGTATCTTCTACTCTTAATGGCCACGTTTCGCAACCGTAAAGTAGAACAGAACGAACTGCCGCGCACTATACTCGTCCCGAATATATCGCATTCGTCATAGGTGACGTAAGTTGGTAAAAACCAAACGAGCATTCTGAATCCGTGCTGAAATTTCATCAGATACCAACCCATTAGGCTGATCAGACTTCCAAGATACGTGGAGTTGTGGGCGCGTTCGATTACTTCACATCGTATCCTTGGTTCAAGTGTTGACGCAGGCCAGTCCTGAAGCAACAACTTGCATTTAGATGGGGAGAAGCGCATCCCAAACATTCTGGCATTGTTGGCCAGCGCTATCAAAAGACTCTGCATTTTATTAGCGTCTTCATCAAACAAGACTATGTTATCTACGTATTCTAAGTCGATAAGTGGACCTCCTGGAAGGAGATCAATGTCCGAAAATTCAGACGACGAGAACGTTATTCCCATTAGTATGTCTACAATGAAGTTGAACAAAAATAGCGATAGTGGACAACCTTGACGGATACCACTTGAGGTTGCAAAATCAGATGACAGTTCGCCATAAGCTCTGACTTGATTAGTAGTGTTCCAGTAAAGAGTTTTCACAAGGTTCATGGGCTTCTGATGTACACTGCCACAGAACCTCTCGGTCAACAGAGTAAAATGCTGCTTTTAAGTCAAGAAAGACCACCAATGTCGGACGCCGATAAGCAAGCCTATGTTCTAAAACCTAACGAATGGTGAATATGTGGTTGATGCAACCTCGATCAGGTCTGAATCCAGCCTGATTTGCTCGTGTTTACAGTTCACGAGTCTTTGTTAGGCGTCCGATAATTATTGAGGTTAGTATCTTAGATGCTATAATCCCTCTATGGTTATCACATGATGACTTCGACCCCTTCTCATATATTGGGACAATCAGTGATTGTGACCAGTCAGACGGGATTACGTCCAACACCCAGATTTTAGCTAGAATATTAGTCAACCTAATCGCTAAAATTGGATCGCCATACTTAAGGACCTCTGGAGTCAATTCATCTGGACCAGCTGCCCTTCCTCGTTTCAGATTAACTATAGCCTTTTGAACTTCAGCAAGAGTTGGGGGACCTACTTCAATGTTCCATTCACACTGTCTGGGAATGGTGGGTAGTCGTAGAGTAGCTGAAGGCCATCTAAACTGTTCTCTAAAGTGTTCCGTTCATGGTTCTAAACGTCTGGGCTGAGAGCAGATAAGAGTGTCGTCTTTTTCCAAGATCGCCTCACTCACACTTGACTTTTTAGTTCCAGTTCTTTATTAGTCTGAAGAGATGTCTTGTGTCAACTACAGCCGCTGCCGTTCCCATCTTTTTCACTTACGATGCCCACCACTGATCACAGTCCTTCCTTAGACTTTTGGTTAAACTAGATCTGACTTGTTTTCGCTCTTCATCGTATTTAGAGCATGATGGGATGAGTTTACGAGAATCTATCAGTTCAATAGACTTAGAAGAAATCCATTGGTCTTTTTTAACCTTTTTGTTTAAAATCACTAATAGATGTCACTGCTATTTCCACAGTTGTTTGTATATCTTTCCAAGCGACATCTGGGTCAGCTTCGTTTTCAGAGCAACCTAAGTGCGACCTCAGTTGTTCCTAGAATCTGCTTTCGGCTTCCTCGTCACTTAGTTCAATTCTAATGGGTCTTCTTAATGTGGCTTTTCTGCGTCCAGTGAGGCGCAAGTAAATGTGTGATCGTATTAGAACATGATCGGAGTCCTGTATCGAAAAGTCTCTAGATTACTGACCCACTGTCCTGCCGACTAAAACTTTGTTATAATAATGTTAGTATAACTCTGTTATCAAGCAGATTCGTATGCTATGCCTGAAACCACATCGTTTGCAGAGGGATTGATCTGGTTGTCGAGCATGAAGCACGTTGAGCAGGATTCGAATTCTGTGCCCTAAACAGTTATTTAGCATTTAGAAGCTATTACTTTGAATACTACTGAGACTAATGTTTTCTCTCAACTTAAATCGTCATCCGTGTATACAATTCAAATCGTTAAAATTTATGATCGAAAACCAGTATGTAAACATAAGCTAAGATGACACACAAACTATTATAGGTGAATCAACTAATCCATTAGTTACATGTTCGTAATCGATGAATTATCATCTGTACAAGAATGATCGCAAATGAAGCTATACAACTGACTATAACCATGAAATATTAACATCCATAAATAGTTTCATGTTAGTCTACTTTATCAGATAAACCACTAAGTGAAATCGTATTTTTTTATTGAGTAACAACATTTGACATACAACATTGCGTCCATGGCCATATAATAACCGGCTAGCTTTCAAATTAGGTTTCGACACTCCACGATTGCTTTAGTAAGATAACAATGTTTTCCATTGAGCCATATTCAGTATAAAAAAGCATACATTGAAACTGATAAGAAAATTGTAACATACCTTTAATACCAATATGACGTCCATACATTTTAGCAATTAATAAATATGACATATCATAAACAAATTCTTCATTAGGATATATTAATAAAGGTAGATGGATTGCATGTGAAATAATGACGTTGTCAGATTTTATATCATCTAATCCACGTAGAACATGTGCACTTGCGTAAGATTCTGCCATTAATCTTGCATTTGATGAATTAATAATACAAAATTCTAATCCTGATAATTCTAATAATAATTTATTCCAATGTTTTTCAACATCAGGATTATTAGGAGGGAATTTATTCACTAGTACATCTAATACAATTAATCCAACTGCACATAATAATAGAAATAATGAAAATAGAGCCAAAGGTGGTCGACCAACCAAAAATAACTTGACATAATACAACTACAAAGATAAAACCAAATATTATATACTTTAACATAAAAAGCAATCAAGAACAAAACGATATCTTTATATCGATCACCCTTTTATTTATATAAATACAATACAGAATTATATCGCTACAATATTAGAGATCTTTACAATTTGACATTATTTCTCCAGCAACGTAAACTAATCTTGTAATTATTGTGTTTTGATTGTTTTATATCAAGAACTCGCACTCTTTTACCAAGAGGTTCTTCTGTATCGTCGATCACTATATCAAGTTTATCACCTATATAAACTGTAGTACCCATCTTAAGCAGTTTTCCTCCATTTAACCTACATCGGTTAGAAAAAAAGGCATTGTCAGCAGCACTTCTAGTGATATCTAAACCCACACGAATAATTTTATCAAAACGTAAAGATTTGACGTATGATGAGATTTGTCGAAAATGTGGACTGAACGCCATATCTTCTGAATAATATGGATCTAATTCATCGGCATTATCATCATCATCCTCATCTTCATCAGCTAACTCATCATCTGAAGAATCAGAATCTTGTCCAACATGACGAGATCCAGTGTGTTTCTGAAAATTTATTAAATGCATTGGAAGAAGCTTTTGAGTTGATGCCCTATCAACGTACGAAAAGCTTTTTATTAATCCACTAGGTCTCTTATATAATGAGATGCGTAATGCCAAACCAAATAAACCCCAACAAGAGTTCATTATCCATCAAAATAAGAACTAAGTCTGTAAAAAAAGCAAGATAAGAGCAGTTATTGGAAATATTCATTAATTTTTTGGAGACATTGTACCTCTTTGAAAGAGACAGTTTATCCATCAGTTAATTAAACCCTCTCTTTGTTACAAAAATCTTTTTGAAAAATAATACTGTCGCTATATAATTCCATAAAATGATGGATTTAGGAGACAGAAAGCAAAACAATCAGATACTCGTAAAGACCTCCGTCGCTACTCTTTCTTTTTCATTAAAAACCACCTTTCAAGTTGAGTGTCATACTAACATATTCGAAAAGAGGCAAACGAAACCATTTAGGAGTCTTTAACCACTGTCCAGAAAGTCATACTGACTTAGCGAATAATGAAAAAAGAACGTTTTCAAGTGTCGAATTATAATACTCATTTCATCAAGAGATAAGGTTTCAATCCATCTTATTTCATGTAGCACAATATATGGCTGCCAAACTGTACTTACTAACCCTACGCAATCTGATTAATTTTTAAAGTAAATAGACGAGCTGTAGGCACAAAGATAACTCATTGAACTTTAAGATGTGTTACACACAGTTGTGGAAACTATATCGGTATAATTTGCGAACTCCTTACAGTAACTCAGCCAACATATACAGGTTCGGATGCTAAACTACGAGTAACGTATCTTATCTAAGGACAAGTGATGTTACCTAGAAGTCTAGACACATATGAACTTGTACCTCAGTTTACGGTTGACTAACACCAACCAAGTAGAATCTAAAATTCGACAGTTAATCTGCAGAAATAAGAATTAGCATTGCTACTAGTCATTATTATTTCTTTATTTAATACAGACAGATTTCAGTACAAGTAGAAACCAAAAAAATGTGCTCCATATATATATATATATATATAGAGAGAGAGAGAGAGAGAGAGAAAATACTATAAACAAATAAAAAGAAACTTAGTTAGGAAGAGAATAGTATACAATAGAATACAGGTAGGCTAAAAATGTGATCAAGACAGTTTATTCGATTAACAAAAGTTATCTTATCTTAAAGGATGTAAAAAAAATTTACAGAAGCATAGACAACGGCCTCTACTGTGAATCATGTCTGATAATATCTAAGGTCAGTGAGTTTCAGTGTCTCTTGGACTCTGACTAAGGAGTCGTAATGGACCAATATACACCGGTCACATCCAGCTTTCTTTCGTACTATGGTACAGTATCATAAATTGTCCAAATATCTGCAGTTTCCACTTTATCCTAGTGTCAGCAACTCAACAAATCAGTCAGTTTCCACGGCTTTCGCATTCAAATTTCAGGCTAGTACTACAGTATCGTTCGAAAGCACTTTCTTGGGATCACTTGATTGACGGCAGAACTCACATTTGATTGAGTTCGGGATGAAATCGATCTGAGTGTGGATTATCAAGAAACAGCGGTTTTTACCAGTTTCTTCTCACCTTTACCCAGCTTTCTATTCTAACAGCACATAAATGACTGTTAATAGGAATCACACCAATCAGTGCGGCTCCTGACCCGGGGCTCAGTACTACTTTATTTATTTAAACACATAAACACAAATAGATATGCACCACATTTTGTCATTAGATTTGTGTGAGGGCTATGATACTGTTCGAGCGTCCAAACCGGAGCAGGTGGTTTCCTTAAGGCAGTCAGTCAGTTAGTCAGCCACAACGTAGGACCAGGCACATATATGCATCGGTCCAAGTTGCCATACCTCATTAACACTAGATGGACACCGGATTCATATAAGTGGTTAATTCAGAGGTTTCCTTAAGGCAGCACACCCAGAGCCTTTGACCTAAAGGTCTAATCCACAAGGCAGTGAGGCAGCGTTAGGAGATGCAGTCCCATGGCGGCCGGTGGCCAACAATAGCTACATACACCATTTGCTTCCTTAGGATCCTGGAGCCCAAGTGAAAAACTAGTTTAAGATCACGATTTTCCAACTCCCGAGGTGGACCCATCGTATCCACTAACTCGGTTAGAGTACCGGACATCCGCTTTTTGTCCTCTCAATTTCGTAAGCAACACCCCAGCCGCAAGAAGGCAGTGGGTAGGACTTCCTTGACAGTGGCTGTATATGCATGACCATGTGAGAGCATTCCGATAGGGAGAACGGACTCTCCTCTCTCAAAAACATTACTCTAACTTGATTTTAGAAACTCGGTAATATTATAAGACTGAAAAAATGTGACCCAAAACTAAGTACACAAAAGTAACCTTGGGCAATGGTAAAGGAACTGCCGTCAAGGGAATTAAAGATAACAGAAACGAAATAAGGGAGACATCCATCACGAAAATAAGGTGTGTATTAGGAGGAAACACACCAAAAATATTTCGTCATCTATCGTAGTAAAATCTGCTTAGCTGATGATTTTAGAGTGCATTCAACCATAAAATGAAAATAACAAGTGCCTGATATGAGATTTTAAGGCACCTGATATTAGTGGACTGAGATGGAGAGCAAAAATATCAGCCATTCAGGAATGAGCTGCAAAAACAGACTGGTCAGTAGATACTGGCTCATCAGTTGAAAAGCATGGCATATATTTAAATGTAAGCTTATTTCAACTACGTTCTCCTTTATACCATGCTTAGTACCACGCACACAAAATAACTGTCCACCATAGATAACTAAGCAAGTCAAGAAACTTCTTAGACGTAGGAGAATGCATTGAAATGTGTTCACCTCTGCAGGCTAAGAAAATATATATTCAATTATTGTAGGACTAGGAATGCTTGTAAAGCGTTGATAAGTAGGATTAGACAGCCCCATGAAAAACAATTGGTTATGGATTGTGAAAATAGTCCGAAAAAGTTATTTTCGTAAATAGAGGTAAACTCAGGGAAGTGATTGAATCCCACCAGTTTTGGTGCAACAAAATCCCTCGATGTTGGCAAGAGATGGTGCCTAAAAAGCTGAAACGTGATCAAGACATTTTAGTACGATGTTTTATACCGGCAATGAGGAACGACCAACAATTAATCGTGATCAGGGCCTTGTAGTTATTGAAGAAGGAACTGTGTTAATATAACCTCAACGTCTCAAACCAGATAAGGTCGCACTTGGAATATGGTATTCAAGAAGTGAGTCCCTAAATCAGGTATGAGGCGGATATACTAGAACAAGTCCAACGACAAAAGACCAAAATGGTTAAAAAGTCTGACTGAGACATCTCAACTTCCGCCATCATATAACGGAATACGGGGTGCTCTGGCGTTGACTTATTATATGCTGAACGGCGTCCTTGGTATTAATATGTCTTATCTTTTCCTTCGATTTAGGGCTGATCACCTGTGAGGATATCCCAATAAAGTTCAAAAACCGAGATCAAATCGTTTGAGTCTGGAGTACCGTTTTTCGCACCAAGTGGTGAATTACTGGAAATTTCTACCGGAATACGTAACATTAGCACCTTCTTTTGATAAATTCAAAGCGAGACTGGACCTTTGCAGTGTAACAAATCACAAGGATTAATACAGGTCAACAGACTTATCCTTACTACTGAAGACTGGTGCTATAATCTCAAGAAAAGCAAAAGTATAGGACGAAACTATACTTAATCTGGTCGAACATTTTAAAATGATCTTCTGAAGTATTATGCATATTATAATACCAATCATCGACAACGATGATTCAACAATTATTGATAAGCAAAAAGTATACAGCCAAACCGATAAGGAACGAAAATGCTGCTGCATGTTTATGGCCCAAATGTTAATATACGGCTAGGGTTAAGTGTTATTAAGTAGGATTAGCGGTTACGTCTAGGATTCTCATCACGAACTGACAGCTTTGATGTCAGGACAGTAATCATAATCATAGTCGCCAGAATAGAAGGTCATTTAAAGGTCTTTGACTTTTGAAATTTTCCTAAAACGAGTCGAGACTTCACATTCTCTCGGCTGTACATTTCACCATATAATTTATGAAAGACCACATTGGCAACATACATTATAATACGCGCCAATGCTTCAATATCCAAATGGTTCAAATGGTTCAAATGGTTGTGGACGGAATAGAAGAAGCTTTCGCTTAACAGGCTTCCGTGTCTAGTAGCAGGGGATCACCAAATCCTCCAGACAGTAACCTAGGTATATTAAGGATGAAAGAAGAAAAAGAAATTGGTAAACATAGTCTTTTGCGGCAGCTTTCATGCAGGAACCTCCTGTAGTGACTCACATTTATCACGAGAACACGAGTGGTTTAATAAAAACAATTATTATTATAACCAACTGTACCAGCACTTGTTTTAATGTGCTTTTGTTTGACTGTACTAATGACAGCTATATTGTGCTTCCATTCTTATACTTACACTTTGGTTGTGACTTTGCGCGAATTCGGTTACGTTCTGTAACCAAGCTTCTATCCTGGCACGATCTTGGTATCCTTTCAATGCCACGAGATCGCCAGCGAATATATCTCGATTTGGTCCATTAATTGCCTTCTGATATTTGTCTTCTCGGGGATTTTATGGATTTATTTGGTTACGTTCAACCCTCGCCTTCTGATTTGTTTCTTTGTAGCGGTGTTTATAGTTAATCCCAACTCGACACCACGCCACACCCCTCTAGATAAAGAAACAAACCCAAATACAGAGTCAACAAATCACCTGCTCAGCATGGACTTCGATCAAGACGATGCACTTAAGGCTCATAGAATCTTAGACATGAAAAAGTCAACAGGACCAGATGGACTACATCCCAAAATCTAGAAACGTATTGCACAATATATCGCGGCCCTACTGATTGTGATATTCAACGTGTCACTTGACCAATGTGTGTTACCTATGGACTGGAAGGACGCAATCGTTACTCCCATACACAAAACAGGACCACGATAACTTCCATCAAACTGCAGACCTGTAAGCCTCACCAGTGTTATTGTTAAAATAATGGAAAGAATAGTCAAATGGACAATAATGGCATTTATGGAAACCAATAACTTGTTAAACAGAAAACAGCGTGATTTTAGAAATGG